AAGATGATCTGCCGCAAGTGTTATGCCCGCCTGCACCCCCGTGCTGCCAACTGCCGCAAGAAGAAGTGTGGCCACACCAACAACCTGCGCCCCAAGAAGGTCAAATAAAGCTCAGCCAGCCCCTCGTCCAGAAGGGCACCACCTGCCCAACGCCTGCAGCCTTGGGGCCTGAATAAAGTTTCCCTCCCTTGAAAAAAAAAAAAGACTCCAGCAACAAGTGTGAATTGGTTGGGGCCTGCATCCAAAACAGCAATTTTTTTTTTAATGTATTTAGTACAGAGTCTACAGGGTTTCACTACATAGATGGGACTATAGTGATCCTCCTGTTTTCAGCCTCCCAAGCACTGGGATTACAGGCTCATTCATGCCACCATGCCCAGTCTCAATCAACATCCCAGCATGGGGGCGGGAGGGAGTGGGGGGCAGCACAGCATGCTGGGGATCAAACCCTGGTCCCTGAGTCCTCCTGTCCCTGTATCCTCCTAAACAAGTGCTTTAATCCGCTGAGCTACCTGGCCAGCCCTTAAAACAACAACTTTTTTTGTGGGGTGGAACTGAAGCTTTACACCTGCTAAACCCTGCTTTCTTACTTATTTTTACAGAGCTGGGGATGAACACCCAGCCTTTCGCATGCTCTATGTTCCCAACTCTTTTTATTTAGAGACAGACTCATTCTATTGTCTCAAACTTTGGGTCCTCCTGCCTCAGCCTCCCAGGTAGCTGTGACTGCAAATGTACACCACCACCGGTGGCTAAAATCAGTCACTCTTGGGTTGCTACATCGCACTGTCGTCATCGGTGAGATGACCTAAGTCACAGAGACAGGAGCCATGGGGTAGGGCCGGGCATGGCCGCTGTGGAGTAGCTGAGAGCCAGGAACAGGCAACTTCCAGCAGCAAGCTGTGCACTGAGGCCACCCGCGACGGGAGCTGCGTCCACGTGGCGGGATCGGGCCCCCCACTCCACGTTCGTCCTCCAACAGCTTCCCGGGGTCCCCAGGTCTGGAGCCCGCAGGGCCGGCGGTGTGTCCCCACCTGCTGGTGCCCCGGGCACAGCCTACCTCGGCTGCCGGGGCGCAGAGTCCGGGGGTCCGACCAGCCCCCGCCGCAGGGACCCACAAGGCCCGACGGGAGGGGAGCCCGGCCGGGGCCGCGGCGACCCCGGCGCAGTGAGGGCTGAGCCGCAGGTCCTGGGGCGCCGACGGCGGCCAGATGCGACGCGAGCGCCGCTCGAGGCCGACTGAAGCCCCGACCCCGCGCCAGACCCCGCTCCCCGCGCGCGCCGCCAACTTTCCCGCCCCACCCCCCGACTTTCGGTTTCCGGCTCGGCGGCCGAGAGAAATCCCCTCCGAGCCGGCGCGCCCGCCCCGCCCCGCCCCGCCCCGCCCCGGCTCTCGGCGCCGGCCACTCAGATCCCGCTCACCCCGACGCGGGGTCGGACACGACTCTCCCCGGCCCCGACCCGGACCCGCACCCGCACCCTAACGCGGACCCGCGACACCTCACCCGACTGTCTTCGCGCGCCCGGAACTCCGAACCCGCCGGGCCCCCGCCCCCGCCATCGGCCCGCCTCGCCCCGCCCGAGCCCGCCTGACGGACGGACGCGGGAGCCAACCAGGAGCGCGAAAGTAAACACAGCGGGCGCCGATTGGTCAGAGCCATCCCACTGAGGGGCCACCGCCTGATGGACTGACGAAGCCGCCTACCAAGAGCGTGCAGGCGCCGCAGCTGGAGCCGATTGGTTGCGACGCTGCCGCGGCGGGGCTACTTCAACGTGTTCTGGTGGCTCGAGAGCTAGAGTTCCCGCGGAGGCTCAGGTTGCAGCGTCGCGGGTGCTGGTGACCTTCTGGGTTGACGAAACGTCTGGAAGTAAGTAGGCTGTACATTCCTAAACTTTTGTGTTGTGCGAATTTTACCACCAAAGCCCTGGGCCTCCCTAACCGCGCAGCACGCCAAGCGGACGTCTGCAAGCGGGATCTGCCCGGCGCGGGCGGAATCCGAGTGCGAGCTCTCGTGCGCGGGCGTTGCCAGGTGCTCCGGCACGCTCGTCTCCTGCGCTGCCCAGGAACCTGGCCTGCCTCCCGCGCCCAGGGGCGGAAGGGGGCGCAGAGGCGAGGCCGCTGGACACCGCCCCCGCCCCTCCCCCGGCGGGAGCCGGAATGCTGGAGACTGCGCGGGGGTGCGAGACCCGTCTGAGACGGCCACCGCGTTCTTGAAGTAGAACTCGGGTGGTCACAGGGCGTCGTGCCCACCTGCAGGGTCAGGGAGGTCCCAGCCACGCCTAGGCGCCCACAGCTCTGGGTGCATGGGCGGCTCCTCGGGCTGCACCTGACAGGCCTAACCTAATCCTAATGTTGCAGGCAGCCTGCGTGAGATAGAAGTGTTTCAGGCAGGCAGACAGGGCCGGGTCCTCGAAGGAGACAGCACGAAAGACGGGGCACCTTACAGCTGTGGGAGGGACGGATGCGTCTGCTGTGAGCCAGACCTAAAGAGCAAATGAATGCTGACCTCCCTGAGGACTGGCGTCCAGGATTGCTCCTTAGTCGGGAAGAATCATCACTGAAGGCCACCAGATAAGGTCCTGGTTTACTTTCACGCCCGCTTGCTACGTGACTCGCCACCCCATTTGGTCCTGGGCCTAATCAGTTTTGCCTGAGCAATGGTGCTTGTAATCCCATTGGTTGACCATGGTTTTGTCCCACTCTGCATCCACCTAAGCGAGTTCCCCCTTACTCCACCTTAGCCCCGCGTGGTTTTACACTATAAAAGTCCCTGAAAGAGACAGCTTCCCGGGGGACTACCCGCTCGGGCCCCCCTTCTGTCCCTCTCTTGGACAGGAGCTTTCTTTCCCTCAATAAATATATTCTGCTCATAACCTCCGTTTGTTCCTAAAATTCATTCTTCGGTTTTAGAGAACACGAACTCGGGCAGGTCGGGTCGGGAGATCAATTTTCTCTGTGTCATCTGGAGGTTTCCAGCATCGTTTGGAGGTCACCCACCAGAGATCTGTTTTTCTCCCTGTATCACCAAGGACCCAGCCCCCCTCGCTTAGGATTAAATGGGAAAGCCAGCCCACAGACGGCAGCCCTTGCTGGGAGTGTCGCACCCCAGGTCCAGGACAGTGACTACAGAAAGGCTGGATTCAAGACCCACTCAGAGGTCCTGCTTTACCTTGGTCTTAACCATCCAGCAGAAAAGTATAAAAATGAAGTACAAGAAGTAAAACCATGGGCTGGTGAGATGGCTCAGTGGTCTAAAGCACCTACTTAGAACAAGCTTAGCAAAGCACAGGGACCACGGTTCAATCCCCCAGCACCACATGCCAGCCAGCCCCACCCCCTGGTGGGCTGAGCTGGCCACACACACAGACACACACACACACACACACATATAAATAAATAAGTAAAACTTTTTAAAAAAAAAAAGTAAAGCCATGCTGTTATGTTGCGCTGTAGGGGACTCAGGTCAACAATTTCTGACATTGCCAGTCAAGCGGAAGACCCAATACTATTATGAGCTACTGGACTCTTTTAGAATATTTTGCTGATTTTACACACCTATAATATTCAAATAACGGAACTAAACAAAAAAAGGGATACAGATGAATGTCCATTTTGTATCTATGTATTCAAAGTGGTTAGGATATATAGTTACATTCTCTTAATGAATAGAATGATTTGTTCTAATAGTGTTTGTAAATAAGATATCATGTCCGCATCTTGTACAGCAAATAACCACTAGGAAGAATGTATTCAATGTGTTAATTATTGAAACTGTCCTACCAATTTGGTTTGAAAGTGTCTCATTGCTATTTGTCTGTCAATAAAATTATGAAAAAAAAAAAAAAGAAAACCCACTCAGTCCCATCCACACACACCCCCGTTTCACCCCAGCAGTCGAGTGACCCCAGCCGCAGGGACAGGCGTGCCTGCCCAGTTTCAGGCTGTTTCAATATATTTGCGCAGTGCTGTTACTAAACTGCCATGTAGGGGCTGGAGAGATGGCTCAGTGGTCTAAAGCACCTACTTGAAACAAGCTTGGCAAAGCACAGGGACCGCGGTTCCATCCCCAGCACCACATGCCAGCCAGCCGCGCCCCCTGGTGGGCTGAGCTGGCCACACACACACAATAAATAAATGTAATAAATAAAAATAAATAAATATTAAAAAAATAAATAAATAAAAAATAAAAAAATAAACTGCCATGTATTTTAGACTTTCCCGCTTTCAGTGGGTCTTCTCATACTTTTTTTGCTTTTAAGTTTGACTCTGACACGTGTTCCTGGTGCCTGCAGAGCTGAGGCCAGGGCGAGAGGCTGGAAGCCTCTGGGTGGGAATCAGGTACCGCCTCTGCTCTGGGAACTCACCCCCGTCTGGTTCGGAAGAGTGACTCACTGTGGTCACTGGGCACCTCCAGGATTCCCACCTGCAGTCCTTCCTGCCAAAAAGAAAGCCAAAGTCTTAGACACTCCTACTTCTGAGGGCCCAGTTCTCTGTGAGCCTGGAGGTGGGCACACGTGCCTGCCTTTCCTACAGGCCCCAGGACCACGACTGTCCCAACCTGAGGGTGTTGGGACCCTGAAGAGGACTGTGGCCCTGAGTGCAGATTGGAGCGAATGTTTTGGCGAACGCTGGCTACGTTGTCTTGGCAGGGAGGGCAGGCACTGTCCAGTGAGGCGGCGATGACAGCCCGAGCTTCCTCGAGGGAGGTGGTGGCCCCCTAGACAGCGCAACCCCTGCCGTCTTTCCTTGTTCTTCCCTTGTGCGCGGTGGACGCTGGCAGAGCCCTGTGGACACCTCTGAGCAGCGAGCTCTGAGCTCCCTTCCACAGTAGAGCCGGTGCCCGGGTAGCAGAGATTGACATGCGTGTGAGACCAGGGGCAGGATGGCGGGCCCTGCCAGGGCGCACCCTGCATGCCTGTGGGCAGCGGCCTGCTTGCTCACTCCCAGACGCGCTCACATCACCTCTTGCTGCCAGTTTCCCTCCTGCCCTGGAGTCACCTGGCCAACATTTGCCGAAGGCCAGTGCAGCTCTGGGCTAGAATCGCCCCACAGTGCCAGCAGGGCTTCAGCCCACAGCTGGCTGGGAACACAGGATTTGAAGGTTCTACGGCCGTCCCAGGGCGCCCACAGTGAAGAGGAAAGGGGCCGTGAGGGTCAGACTGCCACAGCACGAGAGGGGAAGGACCCAGGCAGGGCTGTCACTGCCTCCAGCCGGCCCTCAGGATGAATAAGTGGTAGCCAGTGCTGCCCCCATCCCAAAGTGGGACACCCCACGTGGGAGCCAGCACAGAACAGGAAGGGCGTCACCCCCGTCGCAGCCCCCGGAGATGAGGGGCTGAAGTGCGGCTGCTGTGAGCCCCAGGGCCACTTGGAAAGCTCTGGAAAACAGAAAGACCAGGAAGGAAGCAGTCCCTGCCCTAGCCAGCTCTGGCAGGTGAGGTCCCTCCTGCCCCCTTCAGCATAAGGCCATCTGCACCCGAGAGCCTGCCAGGGTCCCGCTCCCTCCCACACCCAGACCTCTTCAGCTCTTGGGGTCTTAGGATGAAGCAGCCATCTGTCTGGTGGCCCAAGGTGCCTGTTTCCCAAAACCAGGGTCCCTGGGTGACTGTGGAAGTCGGGTGGGAGGTGCATGGCTGTAGTCCTAGCACTCTGGAACGCTGAAGCAGGAGCTTCCAAGTTCAGACTCAACCTGAGCAATTCCTCAAAACCCTACCTCAGAATTTAAAAAGGAGGGGCCAGGGAGATGGCTCAGTGGAATAAGTGCTTCTCTGGCAAGCGCAAGGGCCTGAGTTCAATCCCTGGTTCCTCAAAAAAAAAAAAAAGTAAAAAGGGCTGAGGATCTAGTTCAGTGCAAAGGCCCAGGATTCAGTCTCCAGTCACGCACGCACTCACGCACGCACGCACACACACACGCACACACGCACTTCTGCAGCAGAAGCCTTCTAAGGATGTGAATTGCTCAGGTATGGCAGCCTGCTCAGCCTCCTCTGGGCATTCTGCCTACCTTGTGCCCTCACTAGCTGGATTGGGGTGGCCTCAGAGCTCTCTGGCACCCCACGTCTCCCTGCGGATCTGCAGTGCCATGCGCCATGTGTTGGCCCATACAGGAACTGCTGTTCTGGGCCTGGTTTGCAGGGCAGCTGCAAGGTTGGCATACAGCAGTGACA